ACCATCAGAAAACCAAACTGTGTGGAAGTACAACAACCAAGAATTTAAAGAAGCCACATTCATTGGGCTCCTTTAGCCCAATGGGTAGGAGGGGCGGAGATGCAGAGAGGCGAGAAAATGCAGTGTGGCGTAGGGAGGTGGCACTGGAGGGGGCTCGAGCTGTCCCACATTCATGTGTGGTGGACAAAAGTCAGGAGGGTACCTTGGGAGAGAGTGATCCCAGCCCCAGGCCAGACTGCATAACCCAGGGTTCCAGCTCTGGAAGATAAATCCCCACAACTTCTGGCTGTAAAAACTAGTGGGGGTTGGGGCAGCTGAAGAAACTGCCAGATTTTCAGGCAACTACGCTTAAAGGGACTGCATAGTCTTAAAAGGTATGCAAACCCACCCGCTCTGGGATTCAACACCAGGGCAACAGATAGAAGGGTGCCAATCACATATGGAGAGTGGGTGAAGTGGGTGAAGTGACTGGAAAACAGGCAGGGGCAGAACAAAACCCAAGAAGCCAGGCAGTGGCATGATTCCTTCTCCCAGCCCTCCCCCAACACAGAGCCACAAAGTGGTGAAGATGATTGCCCTGGTGATTACCTAAGGCTCTGTCTGACCCACACAATTTACAGGTGTCTTACAGGGTGTCAAAGCAGCTCTACCTAATACACAGAAACAAACACAGGGAGGCTGCCAAATTAAGGAGACAAAGAAACATGGCCCAGATGAAAGAACAGAACAAAACCCCAGAAAAAGAACTAAACAAAATGCAGATAGCCAAGCTATCAGATGCAGAGTTCAAAACACTGGTAATCAGATGCTCAAAGATCTCATTGAATACAACAACAACATAGAGGAAGAAATGAAGGTTACACTAAGTGAAATAAAGAAAACTCTATAAGGAATCAACAGTGAAGGGTAGGAAGCTGAGACTCAAATCAACAATTTGGAACATATTCATTGGGGGATACCAGAAACACGAAAATGAGCAAGATACATATGGGGTGGTTACAGCATTCACTATAACTGCCTTTCTCTCAGCTCCACAAAACGGATCCTATTGGAGGATCCGCCCTGCACTAGGTCCCTGAGTCAACAGTGAATACACTAAGGAGTGAACAAATGGCCAGTGTAGAACACCCGCCTCCCAAGTCATCTATTGGCCAGTCTGACCCAAGACCTGGTTTCTCTAGAGAGAATCCCTGGAGGTCCACTATGACTGAGTCATAGCTCATCCCTCCCCTCTCCAGTGTTGGACCACTGAGCTTTAGCTAAGATTTCTCCCCCAAATCTAACAATAAGGTAGTTTTGCTCTCCTACCTTTCCTGGGCCAAGCTGGTCCTAGACTATGCAACAACTGCCTATATCTAAAGTTGCGACTAGTGTTCTGTCATCGACAGATTCTCCTCCTCCATCTCCACTGGATCGTACTTCTGGGTGTGGACTGTGGGACACGACAGTCCACAGTGAAGGAGTCAATAGCCAAGTTTTTCACATAAAAGCCGTATTATTGGACCTTTAGCCACAAACCATGTACCTGTCCAAGCCTTAGAAATTATACAGCAGTGGGCACAAGTAGGTTTATAGTTGTTCACATGAAAAATAATACAATAATTAATAAATAATACAAGAATAAACTTTCACATACTCACAATTGTAAACTACGTTTACCCACCCCTGATTTAAGGAAAGAAATGACTAGTTTAATAACCCAATACACCACTTTATAAATACTATTTATTTTTTATTCCCTCCTGCTAAGTTCATGATAAACTCACTTTTTTCTCTTTAACCTTTGATATTGTCTTAATTCTTGTGGTTATTTAAAGGTCCTCAAGTTTATGCCAGTAAATGAGAATGTACAGATGGTTCCCACTAAAAAATGAAGATTTGTATATATATTAGGCATTTTGGAAAACAGCAAAATGCAGTATTCTTTTTTTTAATCCTCACCCGAGAGAGGAAAAGCGAGAAACATCAATGTTAGAGAGATACATCGACTGGTTGCCTCTGTACATGCACCAACTGGGAATCAAACCTGCAACCTAGGTATGTGCCCTGGCCAGGAATCAAACCCACAACCTTTTGTTGCATAAGATGATGCTCCAACCAAGTGAGCCAGCTGGCTAGGACTGTAGTATTCTTAACATTCACATTTTCCAGAGCAAAATTTTATAAAGTATATCAATGATGGAAAAATTGGTAGTATGCATAACACTGTGGTATACTGAACTAATCTATACAACATTTTCAAAAAATTACTAATGTACAAAAATCTACTCTAATGATGAGAGATTGAATAGAGAAATTTTGGTTTATCCAAATGACGGAATTTCATCAATACTTAATTGATTCTGTAATTAATTACTAAAGAATATTTAATATTAAGGATCATAGACAAATACCCTATGATCTTACCTATAAGTGGAACCTAATTAACAAAGCAAACAAGTGAGCAAAATAGAACCAGAGACATGGAAATAAAGAACAAACTGACAGTGACCAGAGGGGGAGTGGTAAGGGGATATAACAGGGGAAAGGAGGGGAAAGGTCAAACCAAGGATCCTGCATAAACAACCCATGGACAAAGACAATGGGGGGGGAGCTGAGGGGAGGGAAGATTAAATGTGGGGGGGGGGGTAGGGCAGGGGAGAGTAATGGGAGAAAATGGGGACAACTGTAATTGAACAACATTAAAAAATTTTTAAATAAAATGCAACTAATTAAATACACAGTTTGATCTCTATTTAAATATAAGCACATATCTACTCATATTACCTGCATGTATGGCTATATTCTGCAAAGAAAACAAAAGAGTAACAAAAATAGCTCTCTGAAAGAATATAGTTTTCATTTTTTGTGATTTAGTTTCCATTTTTCCCGTTATAGACATGAATTTTTTTTACTCATGAAAAAATACTTAAAATTTTTACAATTCAAAAGTTTTTAAAGAATTGACTCTCCCTCAATCAGAATCAAACCTTAAAATCTGACATGTTAAGACTGCCTGACAGGCCCTGGCTGGCGTGGCTCCGTGGACTGAGTGCTGGCCTGCGAACCAAAGAGCTCCATCCATGCCATCACAAAGGGTAGGAGCTCCTTTCTTTCTGCTGCATAAAGCGGAAAGGCAGAAAACTGTACTTGAACAATAAAAATCGAAAGTGTTTAAAAAATAAATAAGGTCACTGACTGAGCAATATAATAAAACTAAAAAAAAAAAAGAACCAAAGGGCTGTCAGTTTGATTCCCAGTCGGGACACATGCCTGGGTTGCAGGCCGGATACCTGGTTAGCGGAATGCAAGAGGCAACTAATTGCTGTTTCTCTCACACATCAATATTTCTCTCCCTCTTTCTCCCTCCCTTCCCCTCTCTTTAAAAATATTTTTAAAATTTTTTAAACTTAAAATAATATGTTGCCTGACAGGCATTACCATTTATTTCTACAAAGTTGTCCCACCCCAAACCTCCAGACAAGTGCCATATTGTACTTCCATGCATCCCATGTTGTCCTTGGTCACTGGCAACTGCTGCCGCTATGCATCCCCTATCAACCCAGGCATAATCCTCAGGACCAGTGGATGCCAATGAAGTCTATCTCCTCTGCCAGCTTCTCTCCAGTTCCTTATGAACTTGTTAGATTCTGAAGCAATATTTCAAAAAAAATACTTCCATACAATTCAATAGACTGAGGAATTAGTACTTTATGTCATAACAATAAAATATACTCCCAATACTACTGGATCCATACAATGGAGTATTATTTGGCAATAAAAAGGATTGGAATACTGATACATGTTCCATGGATAAACCTTTTCAGGGTTTTCAACATTATGCTAAGTCAAAGAAGGCAATCACCAAAGACCAGATTGGATGGGTCCATTTACACGAAATGTCCGGAACAGACAAATTTAGAGACAGAAAAGCAGATCAGCGGTCTGGGCAAGTAAAGGGACAACAAAGGGGATTGACTGTCAATGGGTACAGGGCTTCTTTTATAAGGCACAGACATATCCTAAATTAGACTGTGGTGATTACACAGCCCTATAAATTTAAAAAATTGAATTTTATACTTTATATTGGTGAATTGTATGGTATGTGAATTATGTATCAATAAAGCAAGTTTAAACTGTTCTAAAGACACTACTGTAACTTTATTACAGCTACCACTGCATAGTTACCATGTGCAAGAAACCTTAAGAGACCTATGTCGTCTGATTGTCACCAACTCTGCAAGGTCAATTTTTAATCTTAGAGATGAGAAAACAAAGCTTGGTGAACTTAAAATATTTACACAAAGTTATGGAGCTATTCAGGAATGGTGCCTAGATATATCACTCCAAATGAATGTCTCTCTAAAGGCCCTATTTTCTAAACTATGCCTGCTATGCTTGCCATCAAATAATGTATTGGAAATGGCCTTGAAAGAGCAGGCATTTTGTTTCTATCAGTGGTGGGAGTAAGTTTTTTTGGGAGGCATCATTAACACCCCAGCTTGTTTCTCAGTTCTTTCCTAGCTCACAAGAGATGAATTCAATTGAGAGACAATACATATAGTGGAAATGAGATAGCAAGTTTATTTATGAAACACACATAAGCACAAAACTATAGGCAGGTACCCAACCAGTCAGAATGCCGCTCATATAAAGGAAATAAAGTTTCTTCTAAATAGTGTAAGTCTGTTAGTAAGCTGAGACTACAGGTGGGCACCTGGCTAATTCAAGTGCATGGACTGCTGGGGTTCAGGGTTTATATACTTTAGTCAGTTTATAGGTTTCCTCTCCTTCTTCCCCTTCTAAACTTTGGGAGTAATATACAACTACAAAGGCTTTCTTTCTCAGCTAGTTAAGGTTCTTTGTCTCAGTGATATTGCTACAGAGGCCACCTTCCCCAGTAGAGTCTCAAGGACCCCCCCGCCTCCTCCTGCACTATCCCTGTTTAGGATGTTCGGAACAGACCTCTAATTGGACCAGGCCCAGGACTGCTGAGTCAAAGGGTGAGACTCTCTCCTCCCTGCCTTAGTTTACTATCTATCTTACCTAACAATAGGAAACAAGGCTTAAAAGGTTGAAAGCCATTAATTCAAAATCCACATCTACAAAACAAAGGACCCCAGAAAACAATTAAATTATCAAGGTTATACAATTTGTACCTTCTCTTTTCGTTTATACCAGAGATTGTAAATGTCTTCAAGATACAAGCATCAGCCCTGGCTGGTGTAGCTCAGTGGATTGAGTGCTGGCCTGTGAACCAGACAATTGCCATTCAATTCCCCTTCAGGACAAATGTCTGGGTTGCAGGCCGGTTCCCTGCAGGCCAGTTCCCAGCAGGGGACGCAGGAAAGACAACCATACATTGTTTCTCTCCCTCTCTCCTTCCCTTCCCCTCTAAAGATAAATAAATAAAATCTTAAAAAAAAAAGACACAAGCATCATCTGATTTGTCTTTAAGTAATGCCTCTAGATATTCCTTGTTCTTTATTTACACTAGATAAAATACCTATACAGAAATTATCACCATTTCTTTAAACTACATTCATTAGGCAAAAATATTCCTTTATTTAGATTTTATACTCACATTTAGTTTTTATCATACACTTAGAGGATTTTACAAAACTTAGCCATTCCAGAAAGGTAGTTGAATAAAAGAGGTAATGATATGAAGAAACAGATATACTACAAGGCCTAAATTTCGTGACTTTACCTACAACACAACTAATAGTTTTTTTAGTTGCTGCATTATTCTATTTCCTGCTATAACAAATTATCACAAACTCACAGGCTTAAAACAACACAAATTTGTTATCTTATGGTCCTGTAGGTCAGAAGTTTAACACAGGCCTCACTGGGCTTAATTTAAGGTCCTGGCAGGTGTGCATTTCCTTCTGGGGACACCAGGAGAGTTTTCTTGCCTTCTACACTTCATAGATTACCTGTGTTCCTTGGCTCATAGCCCCTTCCTCCTTCAAAGCCAGTAAAAGTGGGGCAAGTCCTTCAGCTTGAACTCTGAACTCCTTTTACCTCCCTCTTCCACTTTTTAGTGCCCTATGATCGATTACCCTGGGTCCATCCAAATAATGTAGGTAGTCACCCCATTTCAAGGTCCTTAACTTTATCCCTTTGGCCAAGGCCTTTTGCAATTTAACATATTCTCAGATTCTGCGAATTATGACTTTGATGTCTTTGGGTGGCCACTATTCTGCCTACCATAGCTGCCCTTGCCCTCAAAGAAATCAGGATTACACTCATAGTAAACTGAGCCTAAAAGTTGGATGGGGGGCAGGGCAGCATAATAGCAGTTTAAATAATATAGAACTTGGGGGGAAAATCCCTTACTGTTTTGTCAGATTTTTACTGGCATTCTATTTTGAAGATGAACCTTAATTAGATATATGAGAATAATAGGAAAAAGAGGTTGCCATTTAACTCATTAAAGAAAATGGAATTATCTAAATGAATGTCAATTTCTTTATTTGGACAACAAAAAACCCCAAAAAGCTTTTTTTGGCATTTTCTATTTTTCTATACATTGTTCTGCTTTGGCACTTAGGAAGTACCATTTATACAGCCTATATCATACAGTAGGAGACTCTATTAATTCCAACTAGAGAAAAGGTAACTTGGAAGACTACACTTGAGCATACGGACCATGAGTTTTAGGAATCATTAAAATAAAATGAAAAGGAATCATTAAATGTGTATATGTGGTTAAGAAATCAAGCCTCTCCTTTTTGAAAGGCCCAACTTCAAAGTGAAATATCATGACATTATTAAGACTTTTTTTTAATTCCCCAGAACAATGTTCTACCCATTGTTTAACTTATTCAATTTAGCTTTATATCTTTTTTGACTCCAAGACAGAAGAGTGATATTTGATGTACTCAAGTTATAGCCAGCATTTACTAATTCTTTGATTCGACTTTTTAAAGTACTTATGCTTGCATCCAAAATCCGAGGATTTTCAATTATTTCTGAAATGCTAATTTTTTGTTCTATGAGGCAGTCTATTTTATCATTAAACTTCTTTTCTCCCAAGAAGATCACATCTGGATAGCTCAAGACAAACTTCCGTACCTCTTCTTCAGTGCACCCAAGAGAAAACAGCTTTTCTTTGATATTTGCATAGTTTCTTTTGGTGCAGTCGTTGGAAAGATCTAGAATTTCAGCCGCTGGACCGCATACCAGAGCAAGCAGCTCCTCATTGTTCAAGTTCAATGTTGACTGTAAAAACTTAAGGTTAGCTTTTATCCGTTTGGTGCTCTGAGTTAAGATGAAAGGGTTTTTAAAAATTATTTTCTTCACGAAATCTATGGGATCACTGTGACCTAAGGACAAAGAGACTTCTTGCAAAAATTCAACCATCTGTTTATTCAGATCAAGGCTATTGGAGAAGGTACGTGGGGCACTGGTCAACAATCGACAAAGGCATTTACGGCTCAATCCGACTGAGTAAAGAAACTTTATATTATTCTCTAGGTTTAGGTTGTTATTTGACCGAAAAAATGATTCAGGAGAACGTTTCAAAATATTTACAATTTCAAGGTCCGATGTCATAATTGTTCTCCACAGGTCCCACCGTTTTGAAAGATTTTCAGTTGTGCGTGTTATGGCTCGTGGATACCTTGATATTATGCTAGCTATCACTTCTTTGCTAGCTCCTTTGGAGAGAAGGAACGTCTTCAGGTCCTGCTCATTAATACTCATCCTATTAAAAACTCCCGGCTGTCGTTTCTTTGCCATGTCAACATCTACTCCCATACTAAGTAAGTTAGCCAGCAGTTCGTTCTCCAAAGGCCCACGATCTTCATTATCACACTTGCCACCAAATAGCCTAAATGAAACTGATTTGAAGAGGATTTCTGCTGAAAATCGGATCATTTGACATCTTGAGCCAAAGAGAACATTAGTTCTCATATAAAAGAGGTTCCATGGTGCCAGAACGGTCAAGCGGCCCCAACCTTTTGGAATGCTGTGTAAAACAAAATATACAATATTACATGAATGCATGTATTAAATAGATGAAAGACCATATTATAACCCGATAAACATCATGGTCATCTTTATAAGATACCTGCAGCTCCAGCTCTCCTGCTGCTGTGGTAACAATTCAGCCACCATATTCCTACTCTCTAGATCATTACTTCTAATTAGCTCTGGACCTGGCCTCTAAACATTCTTTTGTGCATATGTGTGTATTATTTTTTCCTTTTTAAAAAATTACTATAAAAGTTATGTGACAGTAAAAAAATTCAAACAGTCGAAGAAGGTGTATATAGAAAAGTCATTTCCTCTAAGCCAGTCACTGAAAGATAAACACCACAGGATCTCGCTTATAGGTGGAATCCAACAAACAACATAAGCATAATAGAAATCAGAGGCAAAAAAAAAAAAAACATGAAATAGATGGACAATTGAAACAGGTGGGGGGACTGGTTGAAAGAAAGTGAAGGGATTAACCAAAGAATATATATGCATGACCCATGGACATGGACAACAGTGTAGGGATTGCCTGAGCAAGTGGGGGGTACTGGGTGGAGGGGGATGCCGGGTAGGGGGGAAAATTGGAACAACTCTAATAGGATAATCAATAAAATAGGGAAGGAAATGGGAAAGGAAAATGGAGAGGGGAGGGGGAGGAAGAAAAGGAGGAAGAAGAGGAGGGGGAAGAAGGGAAGAGGAAGGGAGGAAGAGAAAAGCCATTTCTTCACTCCAAAGTTCCACTCCCAGGATTCTGGGTATCATTCTAGAAGTGTGTGCCCATATATGAAGACAGTATAACATCATCACTGCTTCAGAATTATTCCTACCTTTATCTTACTCTTTTTATTTGGCCCCTCTCCATCTCTGCTTTAGCCTCCTGTCTGCCAAAACTTTGGTTTATTTCTACTAATGGATATTTTCAATTCTGCCTTGTCTTCCGACTTCCCAGATCTTTGGCCTTGTGCCTGCCCATAGATACCAGACGTCTTTGCCTCTGTTCTCACATCTTGTTTATCAAGCTCTAAATCTCGCCCTGAAAACTAACAGTTCAGAACCTGATTTCCACCATAAACACATTTTTCTAGATTCCTGGCACTCTTTAAATCCAGGCAGTTATTAGAGACTAATTCTCATCTTACCTAGACCTTTGGTTAACAGCTCCTAATCCCAATCTCCTGACTCAACTTACTCTACTGTCCCCTTGGTTTTAACCCAACATCTCCAAACCAGTTTTCATCTTCAGAATGACCTAGTTGGGATCTTTCATCTGAACAGTCCACCATATGTAGAACTGAGCTGTGAGATGACACATTGAAAAAGTCACTTTTACCATTCTCCCCAAACCACATTACAAAATGTGGGACTCTCTGCATCTGTTTCACAACAGATATAACTTTGTACAAGTGGCTAAAACCTCAATAACTCATTTTCCTCATTATTTAGAAATGAGTCATGAAATGTATGAACTATTTGATAGTAATCATAAGTCCCTAGTAAAATGAACATCTCTATAGGAGATATTTTAAGAGGAAAGCAACAAAAAATATTCTTCTTATCAGATTACTTATTTTCCTAAACTACTTGTGGTCTGAATCACACAACACCACATATTTTTAAACTGTACTTTCTCCTTTTCAGACTATACAGCTGTGATGAATTTAGTTCTTGATTTCTAACTACTTACAATGGGCTCCTATCATTTAAAGGAGATATTTCCCTTTTCCTCTCTCCTAATTAAGCATAACATAGAAAATAGAGCTAGATGGTTTCAACTCACCACTATTATCTGCAGTGAAGATACTACTTTAAAGATCAGTATCAGAAAAGCCCCTCTGTGTCTATCCTTTTAATTATTCCAATTTAACAAGAACGTGGATTATGCCTACCAGCTAGGGACAGTCCTATAGTTCAGATAATCTACTGATCCTCAAAGAATTGGAAAAATATTCCCAAACAATACAACCAAATAATACTCAAACAAAAATACAGACTGCTCACAAGGTAGATGTCAAACAACAAAAGCACATTTTAGATTGCCCTACACTCTTGAGTTCACTATTGTTCACTTCTCTGTAATACCACATGCTACCCTAGAACTATATACTCTTCCAAAAATGCAGGAATTTAGAAACTTAAAAATAAGATCCTTCTTTTAACTAAAAGAAGGCTTTACCTTGCACAGCTCAACAATCTGTTTTCCACCATACGTTCAAGGGTGACCTCTACTGGATAACTAGACAGAACACTGACAGCTATGGACAAGACCAGCGCCTTCGAAAGAGAGTAGGCGAGATGATCCAACGGAATGTAGGAAGAAACAGTAAAACTGTTTATATTTGTCTCAGCCTTTTAAAATTTCCACTTTCAATGTGTTTTTAAATGTATACAATATAACAGTACTGTAAGACATGCACATAACTCATCAGTAAATATATTGCTGGTACATGTATAAACCTTTTTTAGAGAATGTGCACGATAAAAAAGAAGTCTGAAGCCTACTACCCTTGACAGCACACCCTCAAACAGGGCTGAACAAGCCACAGACAGTTCAAAAGAAATTTTATTAATGACAGACTAAAAGCAAGTAAAAATATATGCCACATTTATTAACAAAAGAGCATTAAGGCTTCTCCTAAATCTGTCATAGACGAATTTTATTTCTTTGTGTATAATTCATTCTCCATGGAAACAGCTTTCACACAAACTAGCACGTCCAAAACCAAAATGAGCATCTTTTCCAGGTCCCAAGCAAACCAGACCTCCTCTGATTAATGAAATCTCTATCACTGTCCTGACAGTCACTCACAATTAAAATATAAAAGTAAGCCCTGGCTGTTGTGGCTCAGTGGATTGAGCACAGGCCTGTAAAGCAAGGGGTTGCTGGTTCAATTTCCAGTCAGGGCACATGCCTGTTTGCAGGCCAGAGGCCAGGTCCCAGTAGGGGACACATGAAAGGCAAGCACACATTGATGTTTCTCTCCCACTCTTTCTCCTTCCCTTCCCCTCTATCTAAAAATAAATAAAATATTTAAAATATATATATATAAAAGTAAGCTTTGCTTTCTTTCACTTCCTCAACCTGTCACCAAATCATGTAGATTCAGCTTGTTTAATATCTATGAATTCCAACCTCTCTACTCTTTACTATTCCCTCACCCAGACAATTAATAGCCATCTAACTTGCTTAACACCAGTCACTCAAATTGCCATCACAGTATTCTTGTAAAACAAAGATGTAATTATGTTCATTCCCTGATTAAAGACCTATGTAGCTTTCCTCCACAAAGTGAAATCTTTAGACTGACCTTCAAAGCCCTCACCACGTAGCTCTACCTACCTTTCTAGCTGGCTTCTATTCTACAACCTCACAACTAGGCACCATTGCCTCTCCAACCTCAAGTCCTAAAAATCTTTGCCCATTCTTGTCTCCGTGCCTTTGTTTAAGACATCTTTCAGAAAGGCCTATTCTCCTGATACTATCTATAGTACAAAGTCCCATTCAAATACTATCTTCCTCCAAATCTTTAACTTAACAAATATATACTGTTGAAGTTAATTATTTGTTTTATAATTATTTATTGCCAAAGAATCTAAAGCTAAGTATTCTATTTCCATAGGGGAAAAAGAACTCAATTGGACATTGAACTAGCAACTAAAATTTGGTTTTGATTACAATACGATGCATGCAATAAGTTGACCCAAAACACATTATGAGTAGTTTCAGCTAAGCCTAAATACAAAGTTAACTAAATTTTCAAATAGGACTGATGAAAGAGAATTCAGTATTCTCCATCGTGTCCTTCAACCCAGCATTTCCACTTCTGGGAGATTATCCAAAGAACAAGAACACACATTTGTTATGAAAAGGATGACCATCATATTACTTACTTTAGCAAAAAAGAAGGAACCCAATGGTCAGCAATAGAATGACTAATAAGTTGTGGTATTATATACAATGCTATACAGCCTGATTTAAAAAATGAGGCATACCTAACACAGTAAAAGGATGTCCAAGACAGTGTTTAAGTGGCAAATCCCACAACAGATGGCTAGGATAATACTGCTTACGTAAAGGGGGAGGAGCACTAATATATACAGAGAGAAGAAAATGAAACAAAACAGTAACCTCTGACAGATTAATGGCAGCTATATATTGGCTCTGAAATATTACATTAAGATATTAAATGTATATGTTTATTGCAGACAAGAAATTTAAAACATTTAAATGGTCTTGGAGTGCAAATATAATGGAATATATGTACTACCTTTATCTATTTTTCAAATACAAAAATGTTAAACCTTATAACTATCAATAGTACTTTACTCTTTTAATATCCAATCTCCATCCAAATACTCCCATTATATCTAGCAAGGTGAATAAATATTTAAACAGCCTGATGCAAGAAGCATCAACTGCTTCGATCTACAAATTTCAAAAATAATTAATACTCTAATGTATTTCAATCTCGTATTAACGTTTTTAGTTAACCAGACCCATTAGCGCAAGGGCTGAAATCTAAAATTAACAGACACACTGAAAATTTGTGTACCTGTAATTTGTAGAGTCTAAGGAATATAAGAGGACTTTTACATTACCCTCTGCTCCACGATAGCCTAATAAAGGGGCTTTTAATGGAAATTGCTAATCACTGGTTCTACATTCCAGTTGGCTTTCTTTTGACAAAACAAGCTGTTCAGAGATATTTACAAGAAAGCATTTCTCACCTCATTTGTCTTAAGGAAGGAGGACTTTTGCATTCCTCCAGGAAAAAAGCTGGAAAGTAGTTGTCCCTATAAAAAGAAAAAGGGGGATGGGGCAGAAAGTAGTCAGGACTTCGTAATACAGAATAAAGAGCTCAATCCCAGCTGGCATTACATAATATTCTCGTGAGATGCTTAACCTCTTACATATTAAATATCTCTTAGGGATACTGAAAAGAGAATGGCCACTAGACGCCTAAATATGATGAGAAAGGGTAGGAGAATCACGAATGACTTGGGGAAAAAAGAAGCCATGGCTTCCCATCCACTGTCTTAAACCCCACAAATTCAAAGTAAGCATTATCCCTAAAAATACAAAATCGAAAAAAGCATCGCCGAGTTCCCTTACTAGCTTCTCTTAAGTGAAGCGTTAAGGTTCGAATCCCGGTGAGCCGTAACTCAAAACCAAAGTTAATTCCATGGGTCCTGTCCCAAGAATTCTTCCCACCCCTCTTCCTCCCACAAGGGCAACTGTGCAAGGAGCTGCGTGGAAATGGGACTCCACTATATGTCAAAGTCACTCAAACCCACTTCTGAAAATAAAAACCACAGCAGCAGGAACCCAGCACTCGCGACCGGCTCTGTACCCAGTGTTGGAGTAAACTTTACTTCCGCCTCTGGAGTGGAGCGGAACCCGGGGCGAAAGTGGACAACTAACTTCCGGCCACGGGCCGCGCGCCGATATGACGCAACACCTTGCGCGCCCCGGCGGCCCCGCTGCTGCCCTCCACAAACCGTGGTGGGGAGCCCAGCAGGGGGCAGTAGGAGACCGCGGTCAACGCAGGAACCAACTGCTGCAGCGGGGTTAAGAGGGCGGGGCAGGAGGGGCAGGGCCCTGGGTTTCCTGGACTCCTAGGCCAGCTGCGGAGAGTTGCAGCTTCGGACTGGGTTTACCGCCTGCCGGACCCACTTTGGAAAGTCGCTATTAAATACATTAATTTTGCAGCCTGATAGGGTAATCACGTGTGTTCTTGTGACTAACACGACACCTATGAGCACTAAGGCGTTTAGTGCAAGAAAATGCATGCGATACGAGGCTCTTAGCCGCATATTCTTTCCTAAACTATTTTCCAGAATGTAGTTGGGAATCCGAATTCAGTATCAGCCTTCAGGCTGGGAAAGTAATTCTAGTATACTTTTATTTAACTTTATGTAACTGCTTATAGCACGATTGCCTCCGGTTCTTTTGAAATCTTGAGGGGTTTAGGCCAAGGTTTTCAACAGAAATTTAATCTCCATAGCAGCTGCGTTTTTGGCACCCTTGAGGGCCTCGGTTAACCTTTCCTGCTCAGGTCAGCCTCACCTGCTGAGAGAGGGTGGTAATGGAGATTAGGCCTCAATTTTGGGCACTTCTACTGTTACCTCAGAAGAAAGATTATACCCAGATTAATGAAATAATTGTCAGGCTGCCAAATTATCTTACAGAGGAAGTGGTGGTCCTTAGAAAAACAAATTGGGAATAGGGTTGATCCTAAATCTCACTGCAAGGAAAAATTTACTGCATTACCCTCTTCTATGTAAGCACATAATGGAGAATTTTCTTCATTCCATTTCTGCACCAACTAATTAATGTTTTAGCCTCACTCTCTTCCTTACATTACTCCTATAGCTGATTTGTTGTTGTCACTTTGTTTTGGATTACCTTTCTGTTTTCTTGGTTTGTAAGGATATTTACGTTTGGGACTTTAAATTACTAATAATCAGCCTCTCTGGTAAGTGAGACTGCGTACTGCAGTTCCTTCAGGTAAAAATTAGTCTTGAAAAATTAACAGTGGCCTCTTTATATAAATTTCTAAAATCTATTTCTGTAAGGAAGGAGCGCCTATATCCAGGTTAGTATTTACTGTTATATAGAAATATATAAATTTATATGTATAAATATATAAATATTTTAACAATAAACTGCTTTGTAATCAGGCTGTAAAACAATAAAATCTTTTTTTAGGCATTATTAAACTTCAAACATTAAGATCTTTGAGATTATAGAGCCCCAATACTCTGATTTTACTGACGAGACATCAAAACCTTTAGAGGAGAACCAACAAGAAAATGCAAGTCTATATTACAAAGGGGGACCCCCAAAAAGTGGATTTATCTTCTGAAGGGTGGGCCCCTTTAATAGATTTCCCGTTAGGTGAGTGTTCTAGGAGCCCAACTGTATCAGTGTACCAGCTGGTGTTGTTGTAAGAGGCTGAATTTGACTTCAGTGAAATTTTTTTGAAGACTCTCAAGGCCTTTGCCCATTTCATGATGGGTGATTTATGAGCACACCTGCCTACATGAAGCTGAGTGTTTAGCAGTTTTTGACCAAAAACGGCATGACCCCATGTGCCCCACCCTCCCTAGTCACCCGATCTTGTCCCCAGTGACTTTTTTTGCTTGTTTCCCTGGATGAAAAAAAACCCTCAGAACAAAATATTTTGCCAGTGTGGAAGAGATAAAACAAAAAATGGCAGAAGCACTAAAAGGCAACAAAATTGAGGGACTCCCGCCAAGATGGAGGCGTAGGTGGAAACATTGTGCCTTTTCGCATAACCAAGTTTAAAAACAACAAAGTTTTAGCAACAAAAAATGCAGCCAACCCACAGAAAATTTAACTATACGGAAGTCCGGAAGTCAGAAGACAACGAACCCTTCAGCCAGACCGGTAAGAGGGGCGGAGCTGTCAGTGGAGCGGATCAGGCAAAAAAGATCCTCTGACTCAGGCAGGCAAGCAGTCCAGGGTGGATCCCAGGTGTGGGGCAGGAACGGGCGGACCCAATGAGGACGCAAGGCAGCAGGCTGACCACGGTCACACATTTCCATGCAGATAAACCAGTGAAGGAGCAAGCAGTGAGACAGACCTTGCAGGCCCCAGTGGCGGGAAGCAGCAGAGGGGATCACTATTGCTCCCTCTCTGACCTCACCCCCACATACAGCTTCACAAACCAGCGACCTGGGTGGTCCTGCTCTGGTGAACACCTAAGGCTCCCCTCCTCATACGCAACAGGCTCGAACAGACCAAAAATGGCTCAAGAAGAACTCAAACCCCCAGAGCCAATAACTCTAAGTGACCAAGAAATAGCCAAACTTTCAGATGCACAGTTCAAAACACTGGTGGTCAGGATGCTCACAGAACTGGTTGATTTTAGTCACAAATTAGAGAAACATATGAAAGCTAAACTAATTGAAATGAATGGTAATGCAAAGGAAACCAATAGTAATGGAAAGGAGTCTGGGACTCAAATCAATGGAATGGACCAGAAGAAAGCAAATAATGGCCAAACAGAAAAGAATGAAGAAACAAAAATTCAGAAAAATTCCTAAGTCTCTACTTAGGAACCTTCAGGACATCTTTAAATGCTCCAACATCCGAACTATAGGGGTACCAGAAGAGGGAAAGGAACAGCCACGAGTGGAAAACTTATTTGAACAAATAATAAAGGAGAACTTCCCCAATCTGGCAAAGGAAATAGACTTCCAGGAAATCCAGGAAGCTCAGAGAGTCCCAGAGAAGTTGGACCCAACAAGGAACACACCAAGGCACATCATCATTATATTAGCCAAAATTAAAATGAAGGAGAGAATCCTAGAAGCAGCAAGAAATAAGGGGACAGTCACCTACAAAGGAGTTCCCATCAGACTGTCAGCGGATTTCTCAAAAGAGACCTTTCAGGCAAGAAGGGGCTGGAAAGAAGTATTCCAACTCATGAAATCCAAAGACCTACAACCAAGATTGCTCTATCCAGCAAAGCTTTCATTTAGAATGGAAGGACAGATAAAGTGCTTCTCAGATAAGGTCAAATTCAAGGAGTTCATCATCACCAAGCCCTTATTATATGAAATGTTAAAGGGACTTATCTAAGAAAAAGAAGACAAAAAAGATGAACAGTGAAAGGACAGCAACTCACAGTTATTAACAACCACACCTAAAACAAAAGCAAACTAAGAGGACAGCTAGATCCGGAGTGAACCATAGAAATGAAGGTCTCATGGAGGGTTAGCAACAGGGAAGTGGGAGAAGGAGAAGAGGGGAGAAGGTACAGAAAATAAGTAGCATAGACGGTATATAGAAAATAAACAGGGGGGAGGGCAAGAATAGTAGGGGAAATATAGTCTAAAGAACTTGAGACACGTGGTCATAAACTAAAGGCGGGAATGGTGGGGGCGGGGGTGCAGGGTGGAGGGGAATGAAGGGGGGAGATAGAACAACTGTAATAGCATAATCAATAAAATATATTTTTAAAAATTTTTTAAAAGGCATCAAAATCAATGAGTTCAAATACTGTTTTGAGCAAAGAAAAAAGTATCGGCGCATTGCATCAAACAGAGAGTAATTTGAATCCAGGTGACTGAAGTTTAAATATGTAAGAATAAATACACAATTTTTTTATAAATAAACTTCATTTGGGGGCGGGTCTCCCCTAGTACATCCCTTTGACCTTCCATGACTGATACCACCTGCTTTGTTGCCCCAACACAGATTATCCCAGCTTATTTCAGACCTATTCAGACAACATCACTTAAATTTGTTTTGAGTAATACCTTGTAGGTAAAGGAGATTGATTCTTTTGAAAATAAGTTTCATATTTTCTAACCAAAATTCTCAGATTATAACTACATTTTAAATACATACTACAAAACACTGAAAAGACTGACGACAAAAATATAATAATGGTTGGATTAGGATGGTGTGTTATCAATTACTTTTTTACATTTCATATCTTTGCAAAGAGATTTCATCTTTAATGACTTGTGGGACATTGTCCTCGCCTGCAGTAAGAGCAAGGACTACGACCCCATCATTGGTGATGTGTTACAGTAAAACCTGTATATGCCTTGACTATGTTTTCTTCATTGGTTTAGTGAACATTTATTGAGCACCTACACCTTCCAGACCCTGTTTTCAGGATGAGGGGATATAGTGGGAAACAAAACAAAGCCCCTTCCCCGCTGGACCTCATTTCCAATGGTAGGTCTCACTCAGCCTGTTGTCTGCTCCTCTACATAGTTCCCCCATTTCCTTTTGCCAAGATCATAGGTGACCCATGCCCTACTCAATTGATATAATTTAGAAAAACAAAGTGTGTTTGGAAACACCAATGGGGAGGTGCGTGCCCTGTGTGGAAGAAGACCGGAGGCAGGAAGTAAGTGATGATGAAGCAACAAAGAGGAAACGAGATGACATGAAGCAATGCAACACAGTGGGGAGGAATTTTTTCCTAGAAGCTATTCTAAATGCTTCCTCTTTCTTGTTTTTTTTTTTATAAAAGCAAAAGTAATTCAAATTTTAAGTCAAATTTGTACTGTATCTTTTTTTTTACAATTCTCTTGTGATAAAACAGTGTTGACATTAGATGGTACATTTGTCTTTAAATAACTATGCTTGAGGAAAGAAAAGGTTGCCACGTCTGGATTGGAGCATGTCCTCCACCTTTTTTAATCCAAAAGTCTGTTGCGGGAGAAAGCATGCTGTGAAGCCCTCTCTTCAGGAACTGGACATTCAAGGGATGGGCTGAAAGTCAAGTTTGAATACAGAATCTATGCTATACTCACAAGCACCTCTGACCTAAGGTTTTTTTTTAACTGTGCCAAAGTGCCAGCCTGACCCCTTTTGCTCAGGAAATGTCCTTTG